GCAGGTTGTTATAAAAAGCAGTCACATTTGTTTTATTGAAACTGGTGGAACGGGACATGCTGGTGGCTTGAGGTCGGCGAATAGACAATGTATTGTTGCGTTTAAGGAAGGAGGTGAGCCAGTCCTTTCCAGCCATCTTGGTGGCATCCCATACATCTGGATATTTGCAGCCATATCTGCTGGCCAATTCGTATGCAAATTTGCGCACCTAAAACAAAACAAAAATGGTTAGATGGAGATTGTTTATGACATGATTGAGATAAAATAAGACTTTACTGATCCTGCACTGAGGATTTTTATATGTTGCAGCAGCTTCAGAGACGGTGGACAATGAAACATAATTTAGAAAGATAGGACAAAAATGTCAATAAAAATAAAATTAAGATAAAAATTAAAAATATATTTAAAGAATACACAAATGTCACATTTTGATAAGCATTTAAAATTGTTTTAGTAAGAGCAGTGTGAGTGAGCTGCATGTTGAGTGTTTTTGCTGTACTACACTGACCTCCTTAGGAGACAGGCCAAAATAAACATCAGCTGCCCTCTTAATATAAGCCTGCAGTTTCCTCTCTTGGTCCACAGAGAAGACTTTAGAATGTGATCTGTACCCTGGTGGTCTAGTCTTCTCCCTACTGGTCTCTGCCCTCCTCCTGCAGTATCTGAGCAAAGTGACATGACATATGCCATGCGACTTAGCAGCTGCCCTGAGACTGATGTTCCTGACATGTATGTCCAGAAACGCCCTCTCATAAATATCTGGCTGAATCAGACCCCTGTCTGTCTTTCTGACCCTAACTCTTGGCATATTCTGTTGGTGTAATATGACATAAACATGTTTTAATAAATGCTGCAACACCCAGAAAGTCACCACATTAGCAGCGGGACAAAAGTAACAAGTGTTACTTCCGTCCCGAAAGGAGCTTCTGACATTTAAATCCGATTTACTTTTTTACTGAAAAACTCTGACGAGGCAAACTTTAGGATGTGTTACAGCACTAAATAACATGTAGATTGATCATTACTGTGACACATGAAACGAGAAACACAACTTGTAATTAGAAAAAAAGTACAGCTTCAGTAATTTACTTACCGTACTTGAAAACTGCTTGCCGGACTGGGAAGGGGGAAGGGATGATGAAATCACGTGATATTTGGCAGCTCCTTTTTAAATTTTTTTTATTAAAAAATATACAATATACAATATTTTACAAAAACATGCCAGAGTGTACAAACCATTGATTCATTAATCAAAAACTCTATATTCATGAAAAATATTACAAGTCTTCTTTGCTTTTTTATTACCAATGTTCTCCAAACTGGTGCAGTAGTCCTTAGTCTCTTGAAGAAAATGAATGAAATTTGGCTTGGATCTTGACCATTTCTTCTTATGCATGTGAAATTTCCCCAAAATAATAAAAAGCTGTACATTATTATTTTCACTGGAATAATACATACATATATCAAAATTATTTAACTTGAATATAATATTTGTTTTCCTTCTAATGAAATTTTACATATCCACCCAGAAAATCCTTGCGTAAACACAATTACAAAACAGATGGACAATAGACTCCTTTTCCACTGAACAAAAATCACAGGAATAATCAATATCCAAATTAAATCTCTCTAACACACTTTTAGCTGGATATATACCATGTAAAATTTTAAATGTTACTTTATTATTTAAACAGTATATTTCACAAATACGCCAAGCTTTATTCCAATTTATATTTCTAAATACACTGGCCCACAATAAGCTTTTATAAGTAGCTGTATCACCTGTTATAATATTCCTAATATATTTATTAGTACAACTTTGTTTAAGAATATCGGGTCATCTACATCACTATTCTGATCTGTGAAAACTTTCACAGTTCAGTTTGGGTCAGCTGACCCTTCCCTGGGTAATGTACATCAATATTCTGATCTGTGAAAACTTTTACAGTTCAGGTTGTGTCAGCTGACCCTTCTCTGGGTCATGCACATCATTATTCTGATCTGTGAAAACTTTCACAGGTCAGTTTGGGTCAGCTGACCATTCCCTGGGTCATCTACATCACTATTCTTATCTGTGAAAACTTTCACAGTTCAGTTTGGGTCAGCTGACCCTTCCCTGGGTCATGTACATCACTATTCTGATCTGTGAAAACTTTCACAGTTCACTACGGGT